TGTCTTTGGATTCAAGAGGAACATCAATCGACCTTCAAACGCTAAATATATGGAAGATTTTGGCCCAAAACACCGACTTTTGAGACAAAAAAGTAATGATTTTCACTAATTTTGCCGCAAATTATCGACGCAATATTTCTTTTAAATGCCTATTCTGTCCCAAATTCTAGTTCGAATGTGCTCTAGGTACCTCCAGGCATCTTTCCTGCAAGTTACAAGCAATTTCATTTTTCGGCAAAAATTGAAAAAAAATTGCAAGGGGTTAGCCTTATATTTTTGATCAAATTTGGCCAAAAAATTGGCTTTTCTCCAAACAACTCAGAAATGTCTTTGGATGCAAGAGGAACATCAATCGACCTTCAAACGTTAAATATATGGAAGATTTGGGCAAAAAACACCGACTTTTGAGACAACAAATTAATGATTTTCAATCATTTTGACCCAAATTATCGACGCAATATTTCTTTTAAATGCCTATTTTGTCCCAAATTCTAGTTCGAATGTGCAGTAGGTACCTCCGGGAATCTTTCCTGCAAGTTTCACGCAATTTCATTTTCCGGCCAAAATTGAAAAAATGGCAAGGGGTTAGCCTTACTTTTTGGATCAAATTTGGCCAAAAATTGGCTTTTCTCCAAACAACTCAGAAATGACTTTGGATGCAAGAGGAGCATCAATCGACATTCAAACGCTTTTAATATGGAAGATTTGGGCCAAAAACACCGACTTTTGTGACACAAAATTAATGATTTTCACTAATTTTGACCTTAATTATCGACGCAATATGTCTTTTAAATGCATATTTTGTCCCAAATCCGAGTTCGAATGTGCAGTAGGTACCTCCAGGCATCTTTCCTGCAAGTTACAAGCAATTTCATTTTTCGGCCAAAATTGAAAAAATTGCAAGGGGTTAGCCTTACTTTTTGGATCAAATTTGGCCAAAAATTGGCTTTTCTCCAAACAACTCAGAAATGTCTTTGGATGCAAGAGGAACATCAATCGACCTTCAAACGCTAAATATATGGAAGATTTGGGCCAAAAACACCGACTTTTGAGACAGAAAAATTAATGATTTTCACTAATTTTGACCCAAATTTTCGACGCAATATTTCTTTTAAATGCCTATTTTGTCCCAAATTTGAGTTCGAATGTGCAGTACGTACCTCAAGGCATGTTTCCTGCAAGTTACAAGCAATTTCATTTTTCGACCAAAATTGAAAAAATTGCAAGGGGTTAGCCTTACTTTTTTCATCAAATTTGGCCAAAAATTGGCTTTTCACCAAACAACTCAGCAATGTCTTTGGATGCAAGAGGAACATCAATCGACCTTCAAACGCTAAATATATGGAAGATTTGGGCCAAAAACACCGACTTTTGAGACAAAAAAGTAATGATTTTCACTAATTTTGACGCAAATTATCGACACAATATTTCTTTTAAATGCCTATTCTGTCCCAAATTCTAGTTCGAATGTGCAGTAGGTACCTCCAGGCATCTTTCCTGCAAGTTACAAGCAATTTCATTTTTCGGCCAAAATTGAAAAAATTGCAAGGGGTTAGCCTTACTTTTTTCATTAATTTTGGCCAAAAATTGGCTTTTCTCCAAACAACTCAGAAATGTCTTTGGATGCAAGAGGAACATCAATCGACCTTCAAACGCTAAATATATGGAAGATTTGGGCCAAAAACACCGACTTTTGAGACAAAAAAGTAATGATTTTCACTAATTTTGACGCAAATTATCGACGCAATATTTCTTTTAAATGCCTATTCTGTCCCAAATTCTAGTTCGAATGTGCTCTAGGTACCTCCGGGCATCTTTCCTGCAAGTTACAAGCAATTTCATTTTTCGGCCAAAATTGAAAAAATTGCAAGGGGTTAGCCTTATATTTTTGATCAAATTTGGCCAAAACTTGGCTTTTCTCCAAACAACTCAGAAATGTCTTTGGATGCAAGAGGAACATCAATCGACCTTCAAACGCTAAATATATGGAAGATTTGGGCCAAAAACACCGACTTTTGAGACAAAAAAGTAATGATTTTCACTAATTTTGACGCAAATTATCGACGCAATATTTCTTTTAAATGCCTATTTTGTCCCAAATTTGAGTTCGAATGTGCTCTAGGTACCTCCGGGCATCTTTCCTGCAAGTTACAAGCAATTTCATTTTTCGGCCAAAATTGAAAAAATTGCAAGGGGTTAGCCTTACTTTTTGGATCAAATTTGGCCAAAAATTGGCTTTTCTCCAAACAACTCAGCAATGTCTTTGGATGCAAGAGGAACATCAATCGACCTTCAAACGCTAAATATATGGAAGATTTGGGCCAAAAACACCGACTTTTGAGACAAAAAAGTAATGATTTTCACTAATTTTGACGCAAATTATCGACGCAATATTTCTTTTAAATGCCTATTTTGTCCCAAATTTGAGTTCGAATGTGCAGTAGGTACCTCCAGGCATCTTTCTTGCAAGTTACAAGCAATTTCATTTTTCGACCAAAATTAAAAAAAATTGCAAGGGGTTAGCCTTACATTTTTGATCAAATTTGACGAAAAATTGGCTTTTCTCCAAACAACTCAGAAATGTCTTTGGATTCAAGAGGAACATCAATCGACCTTCAAACGCTAAATATATGGAAGATTTTGGCCCAAAACACCGACTTTTGAGACAAAAAAGTAATGATTTTCACTAATTTTGCCGCAAATTATCGACGCAATATTTCTTTTAAATGCCTATTCTGTCCCAAATTCTAGTTCGAATGTGCTCTAGGTACCTCCAGGCATCTTTCCTGCAAGTTACAAGCAATTTCATTTTTCGGCAAAAATTGAAAAAAAATTGCAAGGGGTTAGCCTTATATTTTTGATCAAATTTGGCCAAAAAATTGGCTTTTCTCCAAACAACTCAGAAATGTCTTTGGATGCAAGAGGAACATCAATCGACCTTCAAACGTTAAATATATGGAAGATTTGGGCAAAAAACACCGACTTTTGAGACAACAAATTAATGATTTTCAATCATTTTGACCCAAATTATCGACGCAATATTTCTTTTAAATGCCTATTTTGTCCCAAATTCTAGTTCGAATGTGCAGTAGGTACCTCCGGGAATCTTTCCTGCAAGTTTCACGCAATTTCATTTTCCGGCCAAAATTGAAAAAATGGCAAGGGGTTAGCCTTACTTTTTGGATCAAATTTGGCCAAAAATTGGCTTTTCTCCAAACAACTCAGAAATGACTTTGGATGCAAGAGGAACATCAATCGACCTTCAAACGCTAAATATATGGAAGATTTGGGCCAAAAACACCGACTTTTGAGACAAAAAATTAACGATTTGCACTTATTTTGACGCAAATTATCGACGCAATATTTCTTTTAAATGCCTATTCTGTCCCAAATTCTAGTTCGAATGTGCTCTAGGTACCTCCAGGCATCTTTCCTGCAAGTTACAAGCAATTTTATTTTTCGGCCAAAATTGAAAAAAAATTGCAAGGGGTTAGCCTTATATTTTTGATCAAATTTGGCCAAAAAATTGGCTTTTCTCCAAACAACTCAGAAATGTCTTTGGATGCAAGAGGAACATCAATCGACCTTCAAACGCTAAATATATGGAAGATTTGGGCCAAAAACACCGACTTTTGAGACAAAAAATTAACGATTTGCACTTATTTTGACGCAAATTATCGACGCAATATTTCTTTTAAATGCCTATTCTGTCCGAAATTCTAGTTCGAAGCAGTTTGTGACTGATTTGGAAAAGTCTGTGCTCGTCAGAAACTTTTGGGAAATCCTTGCTCGTTACTTTGAATGTTGACTCAATTCACTTGTGGCGGATCTCAAGCTTTGACATTTTCATTTCATTTCATTTCAAATTGGTTTATTATAAAGCATCATGGATTTACATTTTCGTTTAAACAGTTAAAAAAAATACAATAATAATATAACATCACACTAAGTATGATATATAATTATGTTAAAATGTTCCTGATAAAACTTACATAACGCATCGTAAGAAAACAATTAAAATACTAGAGGTTCGCGTTTGTTGTTACAAACGCGGAGAGGTCGGGGAGACAAATATTTTATGAAACGCTGTCCAGTTAAGTTAAGAATGTTTTTATGTAAAAACAACAGATCACGAAATTAAATCCTTTCCAGGACAATTAATTATTTGACATGAATGGAGCAAGCTGCCTATAGGCTTTTTGAATAGACGAGCTGGAGCACGTTTGGGTCGAAACAGGACTTGAAAAACAGCTCTCAAAAGTACCTTTTGTACTCATTTCATGACAGACACAATAGTCGTTTTTATTTCATCACACCTTAGGTTACATTATACCCGAAAAATGACGGAAATGTCTTCGAGCATTCTACAACCTCTTTAACATGAAACGACTGAGAATTCACGCTTTATGGGATGGTAGTCAATTGCAATACTCCCCAGCTATTAATGCCATTTATATTCATGAAGTGTCTTGCCGCATGACACAACACAGGCTTGATTCGAACCCCTGGCCTTCTGATCATGAATCACGAACCAACCACTAGGCCATGCATTGTAAAAAAAAAAAAAAAAAAAGTCTTAAAAAGTTCATGGCAAGTAGTCGGTTCTGTCATGTGGCAATTTAGAATCGAAAATCACAGTCAAACTAATTATTACATAAAGAATTACAGCTTATTATGCTAATTAGGACTGCAGCTAATTAAAAGTGTTCTTCCCCTTCCAACAATGGCATTTCCTTAGAATTAACACCGGCAATGTACTCGTTCTGGGTAATACTCTATGCGATTCCACTGGTTATAAATATACATGTACATTGTACACTGTATTTTTATCAAAAAACATCTGAAAGACGTTCAAGTTTCCTCAAAGTAACTTAAAGGGCTTACTGGGGAGAAAACGATATCTTTGAATTTGCTTCATCAAAAACAAAACACTAGTGAAGTTTTGTTTCCATCTCTCTTCACTACTTTGTGCGATGTTGTTATTGTTTACGTCCGAGGACTTGTGACAGTAGTTCACCTGCGATAGCAATAACCCGAGGACCCGAGCCAAGTCCTCGAGAGGTTTTCGTGTACAAACATAACGGGAAATGTGGAGAAAACGTCTGTGCAAACAATATAGGAACAAAGGAAGGGAACAATAAGTGTCCTCAGAAGTTTAGCACAACACGACTGGGTTTATTATGTGAAAGGGATAAGCCCCTACCAGTACCATGTGAAAGGGCGGTGGGGAATGTCGCCAACGAAAACGAAAAAGGTACAACCGTACAACTAAAATACTAAAACAGTAATGTGGATAGACGTAGCTGTTTTTGTTACGTCTACCGAGACAAGTTCACTCATCCCATGGTTGGACAGTTATTCCGGGCTCCAGCCGCTTCAGCAACGGTATAAGTAGCATCTGTAACGTGCAGACGACGTACACTCCCGTCAATACATAGAAGACTGCTTTGTAGCTTGCAGTGACGTCAAACAACCAACCTGGAGGTTAAACCACACAGAAACCGTTAAGTAAACTGCCTTTCTCTCTTTAAGTATTAGGTTGGAGAAAAGCAATACGGTTGTTTCACAATAGTGCGCCTCCAAGTGTTTGCAACGCGTTGGCCAATCACAATGCGCAAAATCGGTCGACCCAATGCGCGTTTGGAAAAGGTCGACTGATTTCGCGCATTGTGATTGGCCAACGCGTTGCAAACTCTTGGAGGCGGACTATTGTGAATCGCCCGTATTGATTGGAGGGGATTTGAACGTGCGACCTTTGGGAAAATATAACAGCTCTATTATCAAGATGATATCCAGCCCGCATTTTTTTTTCCTGCAACGAAGTTAAGTCTCTTACCATAACGCGCATGCGCGTCAGTTTTTAACGGAATGGTTCTCTCAAATTATAGTTATCTTTAAAATATCCCCCACAGCCATAATTTTGAACGAAAAGGTGAAATTTGCGGTATTTTGAGGTTAAAATATGCGGCACATATTGTTTTCAAACATATCATTCTGTTTTTGGTTGCAGTTGCATTTGTAATGGAAATCATTCGTTTTGACATTACATTTACTGTTTGTCCTTTTATAAACTTAGTTCCACAAAACAATATATAAACACTATATCAACCATGCTATATTTTAATGAAACTATTGACCTGCAATCACTGGTCCACTTAGCACTCCAATCCCCACGATGATATGGCACAAGCCGGTGCTGAGTACCAGCCGGGACAAACCAACGTACCGGCGGATCAGCACGATCTGAATCGCGTGGAAAGCCCCAATGGTGAATCCCTGGACGAAAGAGGCTACGGCTAGCCACGCATACCCGTCCAGGGTGGGCAAGAGAGACGACAGGCTGGCCAGGGCGAAGCACGCGGTGATGACGCCCTCTGCCGACACTTTCCAGCTGATCAGAAGCCCGTTGCCCAGGCGTCCCAGCAAGCCTCCGATCCCCAAGAGGCTAATCAGAAAGGCGGCGGTAGAAGGCGCCACGCCCGTGCTCTCGGCCCTTGGGATAATAAACTGGATGAAAGCCGTGTACGGCATGTTCACTTCCGTCTGCATCAGACACAGCAGCGTGAAGCGGTAGCTCTTAACGAAAACATCTAACCCTACTGACGATGACATTTTCTTCCACAGACAAGCCATGGAATTAAGTTTCTCTCCTTCGTTCAGTGCAGTGTATTTCTCTATGCCTCCGTTCGCATCCTCCAATTCAGGTAAAGTCTTCAAAAGATCCTCTGACGTCCCCAGGCTGGCTTCCACTTCCAACTCCTTACCAACAGCCTCATTCCAGCCCAATTCATCATCATCGCCTTCGCTAACGCCTGCGATATGCTGTTCCCTCTGGCGGCCGTCCAACCCCGATTTCCGATCAGCAGGGAGTCGATAGAGGGCGCCACACGCCATAATATTCGCCATGATGGCAGAGACGATCATAAGGGCCCCCCTCCACCCGTAGTGTTCCAAAAGAAGCTGCAGTAAGGGCGGCAGCGCCATGATACCGGTCCCCATCCCTGAGTAAGCCACCGCATGGGCGGTTTTGTACCTCGTCTTGAAGTGCGTGGCGACTGCGACAATCATCGAGTTAAAGGAAATCCCCAGACCAACGCCTTTGGAAAGAAACATACGAACATCATTATTAATCAGTGATTTACCTTTGACGCCTTATTTAAGTGATGCCAGTAGCCTGTTAAAAGGCCATCGTGAATTTCGCCTGCATTCGGCTGTGAGTTGAAGCCACGACGCGACTTGAGCGGATACTACACAGGCTAAGTGACTTATCACTACTCGGAGGTCTTTTGAACTTCGCCAGAGTTCTTATGTTATTATTTAGAAATTGTACAACCCTTTTGGGCAGAGCGATCTCAGGTCCACATACATTAATGATGGCCAGTAGTCGCAATGGCTTTTCACAATCGACGGTCTACATGGCCGCGGTCCTTATCCATGGCGCGCAGTAAGAACTGGGTCATGCACAATACAAGGGCGACTATTGTTGAAACACACTTCGACGCTCCCAATGGCGCATTTCACGTGTGCACAGACTTCCTACGGGAAATGTAGTTGTAAGATAGGAATAAATCATTTATGCCATGATTGTCATCAAACTTCATGAACATTTCAATAGCAATCCAGCTAAATCGAAAATCAAAAGCCCCGTGACATGAGTTCGTCACTTGACCTGCCCTGTCTAGTCTCCGCTCAGTGCGCTTCATGTCTTCGACGCTCGGTTTTGAATTCCAAAGTCACACCTTGGTCTCTATATCAAAAGACTGATGTCTCTATAATTTAAGTCTCAGCAGTTTAAAAAAAAAAAGCATCAGCAGATATTGGAACGGCAATACCTATGACTGTGGCTGTGACGTACAACTGTTTTATGTCGGTCACCCAACAGCTGCAGAAGAGCCCCGTCGTAATCAGGAACCCTCCGACCATTCCGGAGATCCTGGAACCGTACCGCTTCGTCAGAAGTCCCCCAAGGAAAACTAAAAACCAAAGACAAGTCGAGATGCAATACATATAGTTGGAGACGCCAACTGTGACAGTAAATTTGGACATCTGCATTAGAGTAAACAATACAGTTCATGAACGAAATTGCTTCTGGCATGTGTCAGTGTAAGAGTCTTGATAACTCGTGATCGTGAGTCGTGATCCATGTAATTCCTAAAATCATGTTGCAGTCGCAATAGAACAACCTAATTATAGCAAGGGTGCTAGTGAAGACAGTAAGGCTCTCGAACTTGAACAGCAGTGCAAATTCCACAACTCTGATCTTTCCCCGTACTCTGCCAAATCTTTCTGGCACGACATTGCATTTGGACATGCATGGACAAGTCTGGAGTACTGATTCCAGTGTTTGTAGGACTCGAGTCCAGGACTCGGACTCGAGTCACATTTTTCGTGACTCGGACTCGACTCGAGTCACATTGGAAAATAACTCGGACTCGGACTCGACCATGATGACTCGGACTCGAGCTTGGTGACTCGTGACTCGAGTCACGTATTTTCATCAAAAGAAAAATCTAGCGTAGGGATGGGAAAGGATCATTGAGGAATAATGTTTGGATGATAAAACATGGAGGGAACTTGGATGGAGGAGGATTTTTTAGGGATGGGAATTAAAAGGAAAACACATTTTGGGTCTAAACAACATGTACACACACAAGGTAAACTATATACACTGAGATTAACTTAAAAGACAGAATGGATGATTGAAAAATAATTTGAAAAATAATTGATAAGTTTGGTGAACAACTAAGAACAAGTGACTTGTGACTCGGACTCGGACTCGAGGCTTGTGACTCGAGACTCGGACTCGGACTCGAGGTTTGTGACTTGAGACTCGGACTCGGACTAGAGGCTTTTGACTCGGGACTCGGACTCGACGTTGGTGACTCGACTACAGCACTGAAGTCTGATTCTCAAATACAGCTTTGTGGTAAGACAATTCAGCTTAGTTCAGCCTGGTGGGGAGTGGTAAGTTTCACATTTGCTTACCACTAAAGCACGAGAAAGCTGACAACAGACTCTGCACGGTCGCAGTTTCTTGGGCGCTGGTTTCGAACTCGTTCCTCCAACTGAAGTACAAGACCCCGCAGCAGCGCTGCAGGCCCATCGTCAGGGCCATGTTGATGTGGCCCGCCAGCACGACTATGATACCCCAACCGCCCTCTTTTGGTTGATCATCAACCATCCGATGATGGCATCTCTTGGCCGCCATCTTGACTGACTTCTCCACGTCAGGCATCTTCCAAAATTGAAAAGGTCAACGAAACATTGTTAAAACGGTGTCTAGAATTTAAACACTTTTTGGACCCACTTTTCTGCACGTGTATTTTCAACGACATAGTGTTGTCAACATTTTTAGATACAAACGAATTAAAGCTCGTTAGTGCCATCAAGACTGAATTTTAAAGATACATCATCGAGTTCGCTATTGAGTCGCCACATAACTATTGTGCAAAACAAATAATGCGTATTATTTCAACTTCATTGCAACTTCGTGAGCTATTTCTATTTACTGCAAAAACAAGAACTGATTTTACTTACTTTTAAAACAACCTTTTCATAGAATCATAATCATGTAGTAAGACTCACCTTCAGATCCGTTCTTTAAGTTGTACTTTGACGACGTGCCTGGTCCACCAAGATCTGTTTCGATACAAATATTTGTTGTTATACAAGCTTTTCGACCTTTGGACTTTGCTCGTCGGCTTGCATTAAAGGTTAGATTGACAGATGACTAAACCAAATGATATACGCACACATAGCCTGGGTCAATGCTCTCGTCGTTATTCGTCCCGTACGTAGTCTTGGTTCCAAGACCTTCGTTGAATATTTTTTCCCCCGGCGCAAGAAAATTATATTGCACGAGTACAGGCCCGCGATGAAAAACTGTTATCGATTCTGCAATGTATTCGATACTTATTCACTGTGTTTATTGAACGGGTTAACGAGTATCGATTCTAGCGCGAACGATTCTGTACTTCTGTAATGTACCGCGTAAATATCGTCCGCGATTCGATTATGCGCGCTGTGGTCCTGTGAAGTGCGCCCTCTGTTGATTGAAAACAATTGTTTTACAAAAGTATTCATTAATGATTACACACATACACAAACAACGCAGATAGTAACGTCTTGGAACCAAAACTATCCCGTACGCGGTAATCAATCAGCGGCATATCCTCGCGTGCTACGCAGTGCATGTAAAAATACAGTGCAAACAGCGACCTCATGCGGCCACTATTTTTATGCAAATCAGTTGGGCGCGAGGATATGCCGCCGATTGATTACCGCGTGCATTGACCAGAGCTAACGCACGCAAGGCCAATTGTTGGCGTCTGGTCAATGAAACTTTAGGTTGGAGACGACGAAGCTGATGATTAAAGGTGATACCCAATGCACTTAAAAAATGGTTATTTCTTCTCCTATAATTTTCAATTTGTATATTTTGTTCTCGATTATGGGCGTCTGCAAGTTCCCTCTGAAAAACGGCTTTTCATTTTGTGTACAAAATTAATAACCCGCCCTCCGAGGGCCGAATCATAAATATAAGACTAGGTTTACACTATGTTCCCGGCGGTCACAGCAGCCCTGTTTGCCCGAAACGTAGTGCGCCGTGGGATTTTGGCAATTTTTTTTCTCCGTAGTCAAGTTTTGTTAGGTCCTGCTAAGTTTTCTCACGGTCTATCACGGTATCCGTGATTGGCCGTGGGGGGAAAGGGGCTGCTGAGTCCTGGAGGCTCAAAGGCGCACTACGGTTCGGCCCGCGGTCTACCACGGATGCCAGTACGTTCCCTCCCGGCCTGTCACGTTCTGATGGGGTCCCTCTGGGGTCCCTCACGTTCTAAGCAAAGTCTGACACGTTTTTCGCGTTCTGTCAAGGCTTGCTGGTCGTTCTGTCAAAGTTTTTGCCCACGGTATGAAAAGAAGGCCTCCCAAGCAATAGCAATCATTGTATGCTTTTACACTCCCTCCCAGACCGCGCTCGCCGTATCAGACCGTAGTAGAACGCAACTCGCCGCATCGCACCGGGCCTGTAAACCGTCACACATCTGGACGCGCCGTGATTGAATGCGACGAAACGGCTACCGTACACCCTAGCTTGCCGTGAGAAACGAAGCAAAACGCGACAAAACGCGCAGCAACCGTGACAAAACGCCCGCTAAACGCGGCAGAACGTGACAAAACTTGAAAGAACCGTGAGATGCCGGGGAATGCATATGATTCCCGTCCCACTACGGACCGTCTCCAAGTTTTGTTACGGCCTTTCACATACTTTCACGTTTTGTTGCGTTCACCCCGTTTTACTACGGCCTACTAGGTTTCTCATCCGCACCGTGACTGCCGTGGCAAATTTTTTGACAGTTTAAAAATCTGACCCGGCATCCACGGCAATCACGGACTGTCACGTTCGCCCATCCCGTCCACCGCGTAGTCTCACGTCTATACCGTTTTGTCCACGGTGGCCAGAAACGTGATTGCCGTGGCCGCCGGGAACATAGTGTAAACCTAGCATAAATATTTAGGCCTAGTTAAGTTCTCGTATGGCTCCTCCTAAGAGTATCGTGTTTATTAATTTATTTGCCGTAATTTTCCATTCTGTGGCCAGGAAACAACGCCTATATACAACCGCGAGTTGTAGGCCTAAATGAACTAACTAATTCCACACATCACTGTAAATATACCGCGCCTGCACGTATTCCAAAACGTCCAGACTTCTCATCAAACACTTTTATCATCGAAGTGGTCCCATGTACCTTGTACCTGGTAGATCAAACTCCCGAACGGTCCACCACAGCCAGGGTTCTAAACTTAAAGTTGACGAGGGCTGATGCCTAGCGGGGGCTGTGAAGTCTTTGTTGGTCTTCAGATGGAGCTTTTGAAGGCTGCAGAGGAAGTTATGTTGAATGTTTGCTGTGGTAGGACTGTTTCTAAAGTAAACTGGCTTCAGGAAAAAAGACCGGATAAACCCGGTAGATGTATGATTATGTTATCACAGTTGGGACTTCAAAACAAGTATTGTTTTGCCGACGGATGTGAGCTGTGAACGGAGTAACTCAAAGTTCAAGTCTCTGTTTGTTCATGGTTCATTTACCTTATCCGACCTTTGCGGTCGCAAATGTCGAAATGTGATTGTAAAACTCACTAGCAGCTGTCTAATCGCAAGTACCTTGCCAAGTGTCAAACGTAGTTCATCTGTTAATATTAATAAGCATAAACATAATGACGCATCACGCTCTAAATTGTGTGTTTCTGCCAAACCAGGAAGTCACGGTGTACGTATCAAAAAACACCTGCATTTGTATGCAGCTGCATTTTAAAGCGAACTATTATTAATAGGCCACAGAACAATTAACGCTTCGTAGTGCCAGTGTACAATAAAAAAAAAATACAAAACTGCACATAGAAAGATCATTGTCAACAGGCACGTAGAACATTGGTAACTACCCAGTAACGTACTTGTCGATTTATTGAGAAAAAAACATCCTCAAAGTGAGATCGGGCGGGTACCATATACCCTGTGGAACTATCATAGAATAAGGGAATAAAGGGGTGTTTGACCGTTTGTTTTTTTGGTGTTTTTTTTTTTAAGTATGTTTAAAACCGGCCAGGGGCCTGGTCGCCGGTAATGGCCCCAGCCGACTAATCTGCGGCCAGGCCTCCCAGCCGGTTTGAAATTGTACTGTTTAAAACTGGCCAAGCACATATTTGTTCCCATTCCTGAAATACCTTTCGGTCAAAAAGTCCAAAACAAGTCAAAAATTCACAATACATGTACTCAAATAACTCGAAATATACTCAAACACAACACTATTCTGCTTTTTCCTATTTCTTTATGCAGTGTCATAAATACTTCATAACAAAAAATTAAAAAATTAAACCTGAAACAAACACATGGACGGACATTGGATCAGTATGTGTAAAAAAAAAAATGGATGAGTATAATATTTATAAAATATCTCTTAAATCAACATATATTAAACTAATGCTTACCATTATTAATTAATTGAACAAGTTTAATGCACACATAGGCCTACGTACTTACTTTCCGAGTCTAATGCTTTTTTTTCTGCAATAATAAGGTCCACATAGGGGCAAATGATCATTCTGGTATGGATTTAGATGACAGATTCTGAAATTATATGAATTCCTTTATCAACTATATTCTGCAATATGTAACTAATTGTTTCCTGATCTTCAGTCTGTTTTCCAGCTCTGAGCTCTACATCCAATGGGGGTATAATATGATGTAGGGTTGTAAGAGTCGAAATTGGTAGACATGTGCTTTGGCAATTAACACTATTGCATTGGTGTATTTCTTCCATGATGTCTATTCCAGTGTTGTAGCCGAGTCCATCACAAGTGGGGTTACTAATTCTTTCAGAGGTAAACAGGCCAGGATAAACATTGAAAGGAATTAGGCGAGCCCTCAAATTAGAATCCCTCCCCGGACCGTTCGGGGTTGAGCCCGCCTAGTATGTTGAAGGGATTGGGACCTTGCATGGAACCGATCGGCCTGGATTAACTCCACCAGGCTTATGCACCATGGCTCTGGCTCATCACAAAGGAACCAATTTGCAACGTGCTAATCCTCCAGTAGTCAACAATGACTGTGATGAACTTCATAGAAGTTGCCGCTGGTAATCCCAGCAGGCCGAATAATCCTCCAACAATGGCCAGACTTCAATTTATGTTGCCTACTGTGAAACCCTGAGTCAAAAGTTTGGACCGATTGGAGCGTCACGCTTCAGTGACCGAGCGGCTTCTGGCTTCGTACCGATTGGGGTGAAAGAAATTAGCATACCGGACCCGGTACCCGAACGGTCTGTTATCTGATGGCTCGCCTTAGTGTCCCTGTCGCATTTCATTTGGATAGCTTGCAACTTGATTTTGGACGGGATTCACGTGACATTGACAAGAATTCTGAGGACTTGAGAGGACTTGTGAGGACTTGAGACAACTTGAAAGGGCTTGAGAGGACTTGGGAGGACTTGAGAGGACCTGGGAGGACTGAGGAGGCATTGGGAGGACTTGTGAGGACTTGTGAGGGCTTCAGATGAACTGGGAGGACTTGTGTGGACTTGAGAGGATGAGAGGACTTTAGAGGACCTGGGAGGACTTGATTGGCCCTGGGAGGACTTGAGAGGACCCTGGAGGAATTGGGAGGACTTGAGATGACTTGTGAGGACTTGAAAATAATTTAGAGGACCTTGGAGGAGGACTTGGAAGGACGTGGGAGGACTTGGGAGGATTTGTGAGGACTTGTGAGAACTTGGGAGGGCTTGTGTGGACTTGGGAGGACTAATTGTGTAGAATTCAGAGGACTTGTGAGGGCTTGTGAGGACTTGTGATGACTTGCGAGGACTGTAAAGGACTTGTGATGGACTCAACTATAACACTGGTCTACTCATTATTAATGATTTTATTGACCGTCTCCGACAAGCCGGCTGCGTTGATGACCGTCAACGTCAAGTGGTAGTCGGTGAAGGGAGCCAGCCGTGAGACACGCATACCAGTCTCCATGGTCTCCACCCACTGCATGACGTCACCTTGGAGGAGGACTTGGAAGGACTTGGGAGGACTTGGGAGGATTTGTGAGGACTTGTGAGGACTTGTGATGACTTGTGAGGATTTGTGAGGACTTGTGTGGACTTGGGAGGACTGTAAAGGACTTGTGATGGACTCAACTATAACACTGGTCTACTCATTATTGATGATTTTATTGACCGTCTCCGACAAGCCGGATGCGTTGATGACCGTCAACGTCAAGTGGTAGTCGGTGAAGGGAGCCAGTGGTGAGACACGCATACCAGTCTCCATGGTCTCCACCCACTGCATGATATCACTACCTCCTGGGATGGTACCCAGAGATACCTCATAGACCAAGGAGGAGGAAGGGGAGGAGAACAAGCCATCCCAGGCAAGATCAACCGTCGTGTTGCCCAGCCAGGAAGACCTGAGCAGACTCAAGGCTATTTTATAAGGAGAACAGAAATTACAGAAGAGAAATTATAAGAAAATGAAATGTAAAGGCAGTGGCATATCCAATCAATTTCTTTGTCATAATTTCATGAAATGAATCGATTTAAGGGCCATTAATTTATAGCAGACATTGTTCCACTGAGCTGTTCAGTGTTTTGTGTCCATAAGCTGGAAAAACACTGTTCATTTTCAACTGTCAAAGTGCAGCTCGCGGAGTGCCCCAGTGCCGGCTTTGTCTTGGGAAAGTATACCTCGTGTACACAAGTATACGCATGAAGTCAACAACTGGCTTGCAGCCATTTAACGGATGTACTATTTTTCTCAAAATATCTGTCGCTAAATACAAAGTTTTCCTAGGATTTCCAAGCAAAAGTGCAATGGGCACTTTTTAGGCTGGCGGATTCAAAATTTCATTGCCAGAAACAACTAATGGATGTTGAGAACATCATATTATTGAATTTTCTCTGGATTTCATACCATGAACCGTGGGCCACGAGGACTCGACTGAGAAGCTCTGACCGATAGCCTGGCTGGTCAGACCGGCATGATTGATGGCTCTGACTGACAGGGTATAGGTCGCATCATCGACCAAGCTAAGACCTGACCAATCCAGATTGGTCTCTGATGTGGATCCACAAAATTTCCAGGATGTGACGGCATCGGGACCATTAAGGTGGCACTGTGGGAATTCAGAGTGAAATCAGACATTGCAGATCATGAACAAACTGTCAACTTTTCACAAATCTGCAGAATCCTCTGGCACATCACTGTATCCAAAAAAAAAAGCTGTAACAAAAAAACAAAATCTAAATGCATACTGGCAGAGATAGCTAGTGGAAGATTTAGGTAGCTTGGCCATATCTTCAGGATGACTTCAGATAGCATCCTCAAAACAGCACATTGTTGGAAAACCGGGGAGGGGGGGGGAACGTGCAGACCAACTTGGAGAAACCATTCGCACATCATTTGCACCTTAAACTTCCAAGACCATTGTATGGTAAAGGCCAGTTCGTACTCAGCCCAAAAGCAAACCTTAATGTGAATTTGTGACGTCAAAACAAGTTTTCGCGCTGTAAATGCGCAAAACACATTTCAACTCCCGCGGATTTTGCGTTCACGTTGGCAGGCAGTATAAACCAGCTTTCACAAGGAATGTGCTCTAAATTATTTTCATAGCTTTTGCTTGAAAGTCTAAAGTTTCAAGATCGATATGAGGACTTTTATTTTAGAAAACTGTAACCCGTTTGGTTTTGTCTATACTTGTCTGTGTTGTGCACATGGTGTTTAAATATAAAAGTCAACATACTTGCCATTGTAAACATGAGGTTTTGTAAACTTTCTTAATCTAAAAATGTTGTCGACAATGATGAAGTAAACATTAAATGACTATTGATGGCAAATTGAAACTTAAGTGACGTAATACCTCATAAAATTGAATTCCAAAAGGGTCGGCAAATCCTTCCCATGATGCTTTGAGGGAGTCTTTTTGAGACTGGTGCCGGTCCCGTGTGTGGTACTGGGTCTCCGACACGGTCTTCACGCGAACAAAAGCCGCCACTGCGCTCGGGGGCTCCGTAACTATGGTTACACCATCGGAGGATTTCCACGAGGACTGGCCGGCGTGATTGTGGCAGGTGATGGTTGTATACAGGCGCTGGCCCTCTAGTGACGCCTGAGGCAAACTGGCAGTCACTGGGGACACGGCGGCAGGCATCTGTGAGGTAGGAATTACGTCAGCCAGCCCGGGCTCTAAACCTGGTTAAGGAAAAAGTGGATAACCAGTTTGGGTTTTGCATTATTAACATTAATAAGCCATTTGCGAATAACCTATACCCTTTGCTAGTTAAATTTGAATAACATCTGGTACATCTTGCTCATAATGCTTGGCACGTTTTAACTTTGAATTCTCCAGACCAAAGACACTGTTGCTATATCACATGATTCGGGGCAAGCTCTTGCATAGTTACGTAAGAGTCGCTCAGCATCAATACATTGTTCAC